TACCCCCAATGGCCATCATGGCCGATTGGGCCCATTCTAAGTAGTTGGATCCATCAAACTTCACAGTTGTAATCTGAAAGGCATTCTCAGACATGTTACCAKAATTGCTAGTCCCAAAAACACCTTCCCCCTGATTCTTGAACTCCATTCTTGGTCAAGAATTAGCAATAAAAAACTTTTGAAGCTACTGTAATAGAAAACAGCACCTAAACAACTGATAACAGTCGGCCTAGGTCTTCAAAAAACAAGGAAAAACAGAATTCTATATGAAACCAGTTCAAATCTGATCTGAAACCAATAAAAGTTCTGAATTTTAGGGTTTTCTCTCAAAACCCTAGAAAGAAAAAAAGGTTTTCCAGCCGCACCTCTCAGAATAGACCAAGATGATTCTTTCAAGGTTATTCTCAAGCAAAAAAAACTTACTTTATGAAAGAAAATCTCTGGCCGCCACCTTCTATCTGATGCAGAACCCTAATCTTGGGGATCCGAAGCCTTTTATAATTCTTCCTAACTACTAGAACTCTCCCAGCCTTCTACAATCTTCTTAGTAGTAGTTGCACACTACCAGTAGCCTCCAAGAATCAGTCGATCCTCCTTTGTTGAAAAACTTCTAAACCTAGGAAATTCTCATGTAGTCAATCTAATTAGACTAGCATAAGACCTCCTTCTCTGCAACCAGTTTTAGGTTTTGAACAGAAATTCTGATCGCCACCTTCAGTCTTGATAAAGAAACYGATCKYSGACTCTTTATCTTCCTCTGATTCTTCCTGATTATCAAGAACACAATCCACTCTTTGGACAACTGCTACAGTCTCTGATAACCTCAAAGAATCAGCCGAAAAAGGGATCCTCTTAATCTTCCAGCCCTAGGCAACTCTCATGTGGTTGGCTGGATCAGACTCACATGATAAACCCTAATCCTTGCTCTGATACCAAGTAGTCGATCAAGACTACAATCAGACTTGAATTCGAAAGCAAAAAAGGAAAGATTTTAGAAGAAAAGAAGAAGCACACAAAGGGTTTTAGAAAAGAGAGAGAGGGTTGATCTTAATGATCTGCCAACCCACTCTTAATATTTATATATGTTGACTAATTGTAAAAGGGTTGAATTGCCATTAATGCTTACATGGCAAATAAACTAATAATAAAGCAGAAATAACAAGTTGTAACAACAAACTGAAATAACTACCAACTAACACTAACATAACTAACAAAAAACATATGTTATGCATCCATACGAACACAGTGGGGACCGCAGCAGTGGGGTCCACATCAGTGTTCTCTACACACAGCAAAATGGTGTAGCAGAAAGGAAGAACAGACACATTGTGAAAGTTGCAAGAAGCATGATGATGACCTCTACTGTTCTAGTTCAATTTTGGGGTGATGCAGTTCTTACAGCAGTTTTCTTGATTAATCGGGTGCCTTCTCGTATTGTTGGATATAGCACCTTGTTCAGCCTTTTTTTTCCTGAGGGGGAGATGTTCCATATTCCTTTAAGGGTGTTTGGTTGTGTATGCTTTGTCCATGTTCTTGGTCCTCATCGCTCAAAACTTGACCCTAAGGCAAAGAAGTGTCTTCCTTGGGTAGCAGGAAACTAGAAGGGGTATTGTTGCTATGAGCTAGTCTCTGGGAGTCGGTATGTTACTATGGATGTCACCTTTTTTGAGTCCACACCTTTCTTCCCGAGGGGTTCTTCTCAGGGGGAGTGTTTTGGGGAAGGAAGTAAGCAATCTATGCCACTTCCGGTTTCAGCCCCTTTGTCCACTCCAATGTTTGACCCTCCTATTTCACCTACTTTTCCACCTCCCTTGCATCCTGTTTCTCAGTGTTTTACACGACAGCATTTTCGACTGCACAGGGAGGTTGATTCCACAGTAGAAGAACCCACATCACTTCCTATCGACTCCTCGAAGACTCCAGGTTCGACTAACATTGATCCATGTATGCCCCTTGCTTCCTCTGATGGTTTAGTTCCTATTGATACTACTAACCTCATTGCAGATGACCTTGACCTTCCCATTGCACTCAGAAAAGGGAAGGAAAAGTGTGTTGCTCATTGCATCTCACACTATCTCTCCTACAAACTACAGTGGACTATCTCCTTCCTATCGGACCTTCCTTTCCTCCCTCGACTCTATGTCTATACCCAAGGGTGTTAGTGAAGCTCTCTCCAAACTTGAGTGGAAGACAGCTATGTAGGAGGAAATGAAAGCTTTGATTAAGAATTAGACATGGGAGATTGTGGATCTATCAGAAGGCAAGGAAACAGCTGTATGAAGATGGGTTTATACAGCGAAATACAAGGCAGATGGGAGTACAGAAAGGTATAAGGGCAAGGCTGGTTGCAAAAGGGTATACTCAAACTTATGGCATAGATTACTTAGAAACTTTTGCACCAGTGACAAAGATGAGCTCAATCCGGATTCTTCTCTCACTAGTAGCTACATACTCTTGGCCACTCTTCCAACTTGATGTGAAAAATGATTTTCTTAATGGGGATTTGCAGAAGAGGTTTATATGGATCTTCCAGCTGGTTTCTACGATGCTGTGGAAAAGGTAAAGATATGCAAGTTGAAGAAGTCTCTATATGGTTTGAAACAATCACCCAAAGCTTGGTTTGACAGGCTTAGAAGAGCCTTGGTTGTTTTTTGCTATACTCAGACTCAATCAGATCATACTCTGTTTGTAAAGAGGAGGGGGTCCGTGGTGTCAATTTTGATAGTGTATGTGGATGACATTGTAGTTACAGGAAATGATTTGAGTGAGATTGATTCCTTGAAGGAAAATCTACACAAAGGGTTTGAAATTAAGGATCTTGGGGAGCTAAGGTACTTTTTGGGCATTGAGGTGGAAAGATCAAAGCATGGAATCTTTATTTCACAGAGGAAGTATGTTCTGGATCTACTACAAGAGACAGGGAAACTTGGGGCAAAGGCAGCTAGTACACCTATTGATTAGAACCATAGAATAAATGCTTCAGAAGGTGAACTAGTAAAGGATGTTGGGAGATATTAGAGATTAGTGGGGCAGTTACTATACTTATGTATGACACGACCAGGCATCTCTTATGCAGTGAATGTGATGAGTCAATACATGCATGCCCCACGACTTTAGCATTGGGAGGCCATTGACAGGATACTTTCTTATTTGAAAGGACACCCGGGTAGAGGCATATTGTTTGCTGACCATGGACAGTTGAAGCTAGAGGCTTATATAGATGCTGATTGGGCAGGGTGTCTAGATGACAAGAGATCTATATCAGGAGTTTGCACTCTTGTTGGAGGTAATCTAGTTTCATGGAAGAGTAAGAAACAGACAGTTGTGGCAAGGTCAAGTGCAAAAGCTGAATACAGAGCCATGGCACATGGTGTTTCAGAGCTCCTCTGGATCTGTTCCTTGTTAGGAGAGATTGGATTGAGGTAGAAGAACCTATGATGCTATACTGTGACAACCAAGCAGCAATTAACATTACCCACAACCCAGTTCAACATAATAGGGCGAAGCACATTGAAGTGGGCAAACATTTTATAAGAGAAAGGGTGACTTCGGGGGAAGTTTGCTTGCCATATGTTGCATCTGATTTGCAGCTTGATGATGTTCTTACAAAAAGTGTTGCAAGAAACAAGCTGGAGCATGATCTACGCAAGTTGGGAATGTGTGACATTTATTCCCAACTTGAGGGGGAGTGTTGAGTTATTGGGCCGATGTTCTCTTATTGGGCCAACTTTATTTATTTTTTATTTACATAGTTCAGTTAAGAAGTTATTGGGCCTTAGGCCCATTAGTTTATGTTAAGTTAAGTGGTTCTTTTTAGCTTCTTACAAGTAGCCGACCTACTAAGGGCAAACTTGTACTTGTACATCCTTTTATGAGTATAATTAAAAGGAAGGAGGCGGCCAGATCTAATTCTTTTGGCTTCCTCTCATTCTCTTCTATTTCTTCTTCTTTTCTTTTCTATCAGAAACTTTTCTCTTCTTTCTTCTTTCTTCTTTCTTCTTTCTTCTTTCTTCTTTTCATAAAGTTTATATCAAAACAGCTATCAGAGCTTTTCTACTAAAGGGATTCATCAAACACCATCAGCCAGTTGGGGAAGCATGGGAATGGCCCTTGGTGGTTGACTCATTTCCTGAAACATTGCTGATTCTCTGCACATCAACTTCAAGTGGATCCCTAAGAAGTCAAATTCTATAGCATCTCATGTAATTTTTATTCTTAATACAAATTAAGTTATCCTTCTCAAAAAAATGCACAACATTTATTCTTTTCTAAAAATAAAACACAAGGGCACAAGCATGCACATGTACACTTTTATAAATTTTGGGGGCTTGCCATGTCTGACACCAAGCATCTGTATCCAAATGTGACAACACCCTTGCCCGTACCCAAAGATCATAGGTTTTAATTGATCTCATTCTGCACTAATAAAATCCATGGTTCAGTTCACCTACACACATTCCTCTGGAATTTATGATAACAGAGTGTCAACTGTATCCTCAAAACAAAGGTCCTATTTTGCTATTATTGCAAAGTCATCCAGAAATATTCGCCTATTAACACCGCTGCAAACCCATTAAAACCCATCAATCAATGACATGGATGTTTGCAACTCAAAAAGAGAACTAGATTAATTGTCCTTTCCCTTCCTTCTCTTAAAACAGGACTTCTCTCTCCCAGCATTGTTTCCCATTTTTCTTTCAGATTCTCATTTTTTCGGTTCCTAATGATGTATGTACATGTAAATTATAGGCCAAAAGAACAATTACTGTTCCACCCCTTCTTGTATATCAAGTTCCAACTGGCATTACTACCAAAGAAATAAGCAAAAGAACATTAGGCAGAATAGTATAAAAGAGAAGGCAATTTTTAGTACACAACTGACATCCAAATTCAGCATTACCAGGCACAAAATATGCAGGCTTGTGTGCAATATCCCCCACTTTGGAACTTTCTAGTAGCTCACCCTTCAAAACCAAACAGATTATAATTTTTGCCATTATCAGAAGCTTGTTTAGCCTAATGAAAAAAAAAAAGAAAAAGATAATTTAGCCTAAAAGGCAATAATTTAGATCAGAAAAAATTAAGAAAGGCTTTTTGCATCTACGCCCCCTTGTTTCAGTAATTTTATATATTGCCCCTATGATTTAGGTTTTTCAGTGATGTCCCTATGCTTTACAGATTGACTGCATCCCTTCACCCACACCTAAAAGAAACCTAAAGCCATTAGTTTAGGAAGCAATGAAATTGCCTTTTACTCTTTCAAATTAAAAGGGAATAAAATCCATAAAAATTGATTTTTTTAATTAGAACTTGATATGTCTTGGTTTCTCAAATTTTCTGTTTATTAATTTCTATATTGGAAGAATATTTTAGATTTTAGATAGGAAAAACATGAATTGAAAGATTTCTAAAGCAAAATAAATATGCTTTATTCCTTTACAAATTTCAAGTTAATCAAGGGAAGTTTTGTCACTTTATGATTTTAAGTTGCTTTGGATGGCAGGGTTATGGATGCAGTCAATTTGTAGAACATAGGGAAATCAATACAAAACCAGAAAACATAGGGGGAATATGCAAGTTGCCATAACTTCATTGTATTGGGCAGAATTGTAACTGATTGCTTGAGATTGCAGTTTAGATTAATGTCTCTCTGCAATCTTTATCTATTGTAACTGAATTTCTCTGTTATTAATTAAAATTTCTTGCTGATCAAATATATATATATATATATTTGCAAGTTGCCATAACATGGGGGTATAGATGCAAAAAGCCCAACAAGAAACTAGCTGACCTTTTGAACATAATCAAGTAGATCCATTGCATATGCAATACCCACAATATTGTCAATGCGCTGCTCAAAAACAGGAACCCTAGAAATACATCCATATAGTTCTTAGTACATAACAGTAAGCACTTTTCATTATTGTGCACAACTGGTAGTTTAAAATACCTGGAATATTGATGAGTCACCCACAAGTTGTGGAAATCAATAAGAGTTGCACTACCATCAATTGCAACAATATCTACCAAAGGAGTCATTACCTCCCTTACATGTGTATCTTTTATCTCTAGCACATTTTCAATCATGTCCTGCAAGAGAATCCATAGCAATGTCAACACACAGACAAAAGCAGTTTTGAAGAGTAGGTGGGCACTTTTACTTTATGTTATTTATTTTTTTCAAGGAGAGCTTAGAATCATCAAGAAACAAAGCATTATTTTGAAAGGGAAGTAGTTCATTCAATTACAGTGAAGTTTTGTGGTGAATTTGTTTCTTAGAGGCGTTTATTATGCACAGAACATTGGTTTGAAAGGAGGTGCAGGAGATATAGATATGGAAGAATTGAACCATGATTATGAGGAGGATGAAAATAGCATGAACTAAAATGGACAATAAACATTAGTGGTATAAGTGGGGAAAGATTTATATAATTATAATTCTCAACAATTTGGAACTCAGAGCATCGAGTTGAAAATAGCATGAACTAAAATGGACAATAAACGTAAAACTGCAAAATAACTCGTAAGCATACCCTATTACCTGTTCTTCCTCCTCAATTGCTCCACTCAGTTCTGCCCCTCGCAGCATCAACTTCAACTCATCTTCAGTGACATATGGTTCACTGCATAAAAGAATCAAAGGTTGTTAAGAAATAGCAGAAGCAACATAAACAATACATAATCTTTTTAGGTAAACAATCATAACAAGAGCAGTAATCAGGTCAGATTCAGATCGGGTCCAGCTACATCTGAATTTGATTCAATTATTAAAATGTTAGATCTAAATCCAGTCCAAAATCCAAACTGTTGGATTCAGATCTAATCCGAGTCTTACTTGTTGTGCTTAAAATAAAGAAAAATTGAACTTATTTATTTTTTAATTTATACATAGATAAATTTATATAAAATATTAAATATTAAATTTATTTAGTTAAATTCTATATTATCCGAGATTCAACATCCAATCCAAGTATCCAAGATTTGGATGTTAGGACTTGCATCTAATTAGTAATCCAATCTGATTAAAATCCGAATAAATTAAACATTATTGTTTTATATTTATTTATTTTATATATAAATATATGTATATATATACATATGTATGTATGTATGTATAATATATATACATGTATGTATAATATATGTATATATGTATGTATGTACGTATGTACGTATGTACGTATGTACGTATGTACGTATGTACGTATGTACGTATGTATGTATGTACTTAATGTATTTATTTAATGCATGTATGTATTTAGTGCATCTGACTAGTAATCCAATCTGATTAAAATGCGAATAAATTAAACATTATTGTTTTATATTTATTTATTTTATATATAAATATATGTATATATATATATGTATGTATGTATGTATAATATATATACATGTATGTATAATATATGTATATATATGTATGTACATACGTATGTACTATGTATGTATGTATTTAATGTATTTATTTATATATATAATATATATATGTGTGTATATATATATGTATATATATATATATCCCCAAATTGGTGCTTCTTGTGTAGAGTGAAGGGTGAGGACTGTAACCATTTACTGATATCGTGCTCTTTTGCTGCCAATATTTGGAACTGGGTTGTTGCACTATTTGGGTGCAG